ATGACTGCATCTTTCCATTCCCACCTCCTTGCCTTTACCTCCTCCGGTACATACTGCCTTCTTGCTTTCTATTTGTTGTTCTTCAAACAAAACACATTTTTATGCCTCTGTGGTTTTAGACAGGGATTCCCTCATTCTAGAAGCTTTCACTGGCCTCCTTTCCGCCATTTCAGGAGCATGTGTCTGTTGTCTCTGCTTACCTAGTGTCCGTTCCCCCTACTTCAGTTTCCCTTTGGAAAATGAACTAGGTGGCCCATCAGTACCAGTTTGGTTTACCGTGCTCCCCGACTCTGAGGTGAGCCCATAATCACAGTGATTGGTTCAGGGATAGGCATGCCTCCAATTGAGGCCAAAGAGTTAGTGCTGAAACGTTGCCGTTACTGTCTTTCAGTAAGGGTTCTTAAGCCAATGGAAAGTAACCTGGACGGAGCTACCTGAGAATGAAAGCAACTCAGAAGGAGCCAGAACTGAGAGATGTAGAGGGATGGACTCATGGTGATGTTGTATGAACACCTGTCTCCAGCCTTGTTGGAGGGCAGCAATCCATGAAGCCAGACTCTCCCTGTTCTTCTCATGACATGAGCCAGTAAGTCACTTTGTTGGCTTGAGCCAGTCAAAGCCAGCTTTCATCATTTGCAGTACTGCTCTTCTAGGCTCTCACTGCCCCTGAGTCCATCCCTCCAGTGCCCTCTATCGCTCTGTATGGTCTGATTTTTCTGTCAATCTCCCCCACTAAACTCTGAGTTTCTCCCTTTCCTCTTTGGCCAAGGCCTGGAAAAAATCTGTAAGCAATTAATAAATTAATAAAGCAATACAAAGAGTCAGGATTCCAGGATAAGGTAGGTCAGTATTCTCAGATTCTTAATAATAGTAATAATCGTCATCATTGATGATGATGATGATGATGTCTACCATTTATGAAGTGCTGTGCCTTTAATGGCTTTATAAGCATTATCTCATTAGATCATCAGAACCACCAGAGAAAATAGTTATGTAAACCATGTTGCTTATGAGGAAACAGAGGCTCGGAGGTTTCAAGTAACTTGTCCAAAGTCACACAGCTAGAAGTGGCAGATACAAGATATCCACTGATGTCTGGCTCCACAGTCCATGCTCTTGTCCACTAGGTGAACAGCCCCCCAGCCTTTCTTTCTACTTCTCACTTCCTTGAAGGAAACCCCCTATCCTGACTTGCCACTCTTGACTCGGCCTTGCTTGGACTCCATCGGATTGAGGAAACACAGCTAAACTTATTTCCCTCTCCTGCCTTCAGGCCTGGCCCTTGATGGACCACGTGGCTTTATGCCAGGCTGGGCAGAGAAGCATCTTCTCCAGTTCAGAAGTACCTTGGGGGCTGAGAAATAAGATGGCACCTGGATCACGGAGTTCAGATTGGAAAGTTTAAGGAGGATCAAAAGCCTGCCTCCAATTGCTGCAAACCTTCCAAGTTGATTCCCTAAAATATGTAGTTCTTCTGTGGGGCCCAGAAGAAATCTAAGCAGCATTCAAGCCTACAGGCTTTGAGGCCACCCCACCTGCGTTTGAATTGCTTGCTGAGGTTGCTGGACAACCTCAGGTAAATAATGTAAACTCTCTCAGCCTCATTTTCTCATCTGTAAAATGGGAACAACTGCCTCAGAGAGATTTTTGAGAGAAAACAGAGAAAATTAACATGATTGTGGTAAATTAATGATGTCTGGCACATGGTAAATATTCCAGCAGCAATAGCTATGATTATTATTATCTAAATCTTCTCAGGTGACTAAGAAATAAAAAGCTCCCAGAGGCCTGGGGAGGGGAGGTCAAGTTCCCCAGAACTCTACTGCCTGTTGTTCCAGATACACACATGTATATGTCTACATCCTGTCACAGATGCCTCCTTCTCCAGGAAGCCCTCCAATCCTCCTTCCTTCAGTGGTGTTGAGTTGCCAGATTTAGCAAAAAAAAAAAAAAAAAAAAATACAGGACAACCTCCCAACAAAGAAAAGCCCAGGACCAGATGGCTTCACTGGTGAATTCTACCAAACATTTAAAGAAGAATTAATGTCAATCCTTCCCAAATTCTTCCACAAAATTGAAGAAGACAGAACACTTTTAAACTCAGTTTAAGAGGCCAGCATGACTCTGATATGAAAGCCAGACAATGCTACCACAAGAAAAGAAAACTACAGGCCAATATCCCTGATGAATATAGATATGAAAATCTTCAGTAAAATACCAGCAAATCAAATTCAACAGTACATTAAAAGGATCATACACGATGGCCAACTGAGATATCCCTGGGACATAAAGATATTTCCACACATGAAAATCAGTTTATGTGACACACTACGTTAATAGAATGAAGGATAAAAATCACATGATCATCTCAATAGATGTAGAAAAGGCATTTGATAAAATTCAACACCCTCTCATGATAAAAACTCTTAACAAACTAGGAATAGAGAGAAATTGCCTCAACATAATAAAGGCCATATGTGAAAAACCCGTAGCTGACATACTCAGTGGTGAAAAACTGAAGACTTTTCCTCTAAGATCAGGAACAAGGCAAGGATGCTCACTCTCACCATTTATATTCAACATAGTGCTGGAAGTTCTACCACTTCAATCAGAAGGGACTGTAATTAGGTTTTGTGCTCTGCTCTGATGACCTTCAGTGGGAGAGTGACCAGGCCCATAGTGGCCAAGTTGCCCTTTCCATCTGTACCTGCTGGAAGGTCACCTCTGTGTGCAGCCTATGCCAAGAAGGCCTTCCACCTTGCACTTCAGCTCCGAGGAGCGGTCAAAAACCTCCCTTTCATTTAACTTTTAGACCTCATGTTTGCACTGTGTTAACTCCCAATCTCCCCGCAAAGTTCCTGTCTGTGGTTCCCAAGATTAAAGGTCTGAAGTGAGCCAAAAAGGCCATTTCTCTCTGTCCTAAAAGGTGCAGTCAGCAGGGAAGGAGAACTACAAGAAGGAGGAGCATAAACAGAAGGGCTCCATGTGGAAATTTCACACAGGCAGTGATCCAGTTGTAGTGGTTATTGGTTTTTTCCAAATATCTCTATGACTTTTTTGGGAAAAAACAAATTTTTGTGCTCATTGTAAAAAAATTCAAGCAAAACATAAAAGCACAAAAAGTACATTAACAATCATCCCAAAGGCCACCATTCAGAAGTAATGATTATTAGCATTTGGAGATTAAGAGTCTGGGGAAACCAAAAGCAACCAGGGCTCCTAAGAGAAATGGCTGATTTCAAGGCGAGGTCTGGCAAGGTACAAGATAAAACTGGGTGGTCTTCTTGTGCCAGAAAGAAAGGAAGTGCTCAAAAAATAAAGGGGACATTTCATGATGGCATGGAAGCTAGCTGAACAGGGCTCCAATGGCCAAATCTAAGACAATTTAGGCATCAAAATAAGGTTAGTAATGAGCTATAAAAAATGAAAATAGGAATGCACGAGTCCATAATGAAAATAAATTTACAAAAAGTAATCAATGAGGAGAAGGGAGGGCTCTTGCTTACAGTAGAATTCCCAGCACCAACTGATAAACATCATGGAGTGCTGGAGTTGGGAAATCCTCACAGATTGCTGATAAATTGCAACAGATAAAAATAGTAAGTATACAGTGCAGAAACCAGACAATACCTTGACCTAGTGATCACAATCAGTACCACCAATGAAGGACAGTAGAAATCATGTGCCTCCAGATACGATGCTCGGGAGGACACAATATCACTTCCATAGTATCCCGCCAAGAATGCATCACCTAAATCCAGTCATGAGGAAACATCAGACAGACCCAAAATGAGGAATGTCCAATTCTAAAAGGGGGTGTGCTGTAGTCTTTAAAAATATCAATCTCATAAAGGGCAAAGAAAGACTGCAGAAATGTTCCAAATTAAAGAAGATGAAAGAGACAGAATCACTAAATGTAATACCTGATCCTAGACTGGATCCTGCTTTGGGGGAAATTAATATAAAAGACATTAATGGGTCAATTGACAAAAATGGAATATGAATGATGAGTTAAATAAAAGTCTGTCAGTGTCAAATTTCTTGAAAGTTTAACTTTACTATGGTTTTTGGAAGAGAATATTCTTTTTAGGAAGTATACGCTGAAGTATTTAGGGGTAAAGGGGCATGGTGTATACAACTTATTCTCAAATGGTTCAGAAAAAATCATAGCTAGATAGACAGAGCAAATAACAAAGCTATTGCAGTAAATGTTAACAACTGGCAAATCTGGGCATAGGTCATATAAGAGTTCTTTTGTGCTGTTCCTAAAAGTTTTCTATAAGATTGAAACTGCTTCCAAATAAAAAGTTGAAAACATTTTAAAGAGTCTAGGAGAAACATACGGGAGATCTAAAATGTGGTCAGAAAAGTGACAGTTCATTCACTGGTACATTCACTCTTCATTCATTCATTCATTCATTCATTCCATGAACATCCACTGAATATGTCCTAATGCCTGCCACTAGTGCCACAGATATAAATAAGACACAGTCCTGTCTTCAAGGAGCTTGTTTTAGTGACAAAGAAGGAAAGTCATCTAAAAATTTATTGGATCAGGGAAGAGTAACACCTTTTGCCTAATCTTGTGTTTTCTGTACATTACTTATTCAAAGCAATGTTCTTGCAATTTCCTGTGGTCAAAAAAAGTCATATTCATTGATTCAAAAACTCGCAGATTTAAAAAATCCCATCATTTTATGAGAAAAGGAAGAAATGGAGGCCCAGTGATCTAACCCTTGCACAGCAAGACTGTCTCCTCTAGGACACCTAATGTAACTCTGGCCTCACTGGATGCCTCTACGAGTTCCCAAAATTTCATCAGAGATACAGGTCAAGGGACCAGAGACTCAACTTTTACCAGATTTCCTAAGTTCAAGGAGCAGCCCTCTCAGCTCAAACCAATCAAGTGGTTCTCAGTTGGGGGCAATTTCCTATCCCATTCCCACTAGGGGACATCTGACAATGTCGAGACATTTTTGATTACCACAACTCAGGGAAGGAGGAGCTACTGGCATCTAGTGGGTAGAGGCCAGGGATGTTTCTAAACATCCTACAACGCACCAGTCAGTCCCCACAACAAGTAATTATCCAAAACAAAATGTCACTAGTGCAGAAATTGAACAACACCAAACTTGTCCAAAAACTTGGAGCAATTCTGTCAGAGGCGAAGGATGGAAAAGAGAAGGGCAGGAAGAAGAGCACATCAGTTAGGAATAAGTTCAACTGCAAGAGAGAGAAAACCCCAAATAAAGATGGCTTAAACAAGATGGATGTTTATTTCTCTTTTTTCTAAAGAAACTCACTGTTGAGAAGTCCAGGGCTGGCATGACAGCTCCACAATCATCAGGGAGCCAGACTCTGTGTTGTTGATTTGTCATCGGCCCTTTATGCTTCCTTCTCATGGTCCAAGTCGGTCACTTGAGCTCCAACCATCATATCCTCATTCTAGCCAGCAGGAAGGAAGAAGACACCTCTCCCTTGAAGAACACACCCCAGAAGCCACACCTAGGACGTTTCTTCGCGTCCATCGCGAAGAACTTAAAATATGGCCACAGTGAATTGAAAAGGAGGATGCAATCTTTATTCCGGGAAGCCATTTTAAATGAAGGACAATTAAAAATCGGGGAATTCTACTATTAATGTACAAGTGACAAATGGGTGCTGGGTCACAGCTCACACAGTCTGCTGCAGATGCACAAACTAGATATTTACTTTGGGGATTTTTGTAATGTTTTTGTCTTTTTACTCACCTATTTTTCTAATATTCTTCCATTGCACTTGATGTTTGTAACCGTTGAAGCAACAAATGCCATTTCATAAACCTGCAAATTACATAATAACTAAGGGACAAACCTCTTTAGGGAAAGGTGATCCCTAAGTGAAAGGACTTGCATTTTCCCAAGAAGAAAACCTTTAAACTCAGTAAGAGTGTGAAGATTGTACAGAAATCTGAGCTCAAGAAAATCAAGACCACAAAATTCCTAAAGGACCCACACAACTCCCCAGAAGAGATAGTATAACTCCCCAGACCAGATAGTTAACTAAGAATGCCAACTTAAAACTAAAAACTAAAGCATGGGGGTCGGTGGATATATATTTATATATCATATTTATTTACATATTTCTATATTTTATATGCATGGGTATGAGTGTGTTAGATGTATGGGGGTGTGTGTGTATATATGTATATATTCCCCCACATATTTTCTCTCCCAATATATATATTCTCAATCAAATAAAAGGAGCTTTTAACAAAATCTATCCTGATTTGTTGAGGGTTGTTTTTTACATACCTTGTCACACTAATATTCAACAAATTCTAGATCATTCTCTCATTACTCTACTCTTACTGACTTTCCTACTTCTTCAAATACTCTGTTAGGGTATCAACAGATTGATGAAGAGCCTGTTGTTCAAACTGTGCCTTCCTCAAAGGTAATTTTTAACTCTAGGACACTTGCTGGAATAGTCACTCTAGAATTTCTTAGAAATGCCAACTGCTTCATTAACTCCCACACATTGTCGCACGCTTTCTGATTAAATGCTGCTGCCCAACTTTATCATCCAGACCTAAACACGCTGAGAGGGTAGCTAGGTTTATATGTAGGTTTACCATCCAGGATGTCGAGCAAATTAAAAATGTTAGTGTCGGTGATCTCCTACTGAGCTGCCAACACCTCGGACTTCATCTGGGTGGTGGTTCGGGCTAACTCTAGCCTGGGCCTCTGGACTAGAATTCACTCACTGTTTCTCTTAGCAGTTATACCAGCTTTTTCCTGGGAGATTGGAGGCTTGTTATGGAAATAAGATTTGTGTCTTTCCTAAATATGCAGACTCATACTCCCAACCTCTCATTTGTGATTCTATAATAAAGAAAAAAATAAGCTGAGAGGAAGGAAGACAACATTCTCATTTCCGAACTTAATTTGAAGCTGGCTTAACTCACTCCGAGCCACGTGTAAGAGTAAAAGCAATTCCTCCTTACATCCCGGTTAGAATACAGCTCTCTTATCCAGATGGGGTGGAGGCTGGGGGATCTGGCTGTTTAGATAGAATGGGTTACTGAGGGTCAGTCTTTGGGATGGGGAGTGGGGGCTGCTAGTCTCCTGAGATTTTGGACGAATTTTTTTCTATCCTTACATATAACAATATCTAACATTTACTGAAAGTTTATTATATGCCAGGCACAGTGTTAAACTGGTCATTTAAGCTTTTACCAGCCCTCTGATTTAGAAACTTGATCATTTCCATTTTTGCAGATGAAGAAGCAGAGGCTCAGAGAAGTGAAGTAACTTGCCCAGGTCACAGAGCTGGTAAATGACTGGACTCTGATTCAAGCTCTGGTGGGCCTGATTCCCTTACATTTTCTTAGCTTATGTTTTAGAACTTTTAAAAGGCTTTAATCCATCTGGAATTTATTTTGGATCGTGATGCGAAACGAGACAGCAATAGTTTGTTTTCTACAAATGTAATCAATTGGCCGGTCACAACTTAAAAGGATGTTGATTTTTTAACAATTTCATGACAAGGGGAAATGTTTATGGCCTATGTTAAGTAGAAAAAAGGGAGGGACACTAAACTACATACACAGTGTAAGTAACTACATTAAACGTGATGCATGTGTAGCCATCCATATGGTATCTATTGAACGGCTACATAGAAATATGACCCTGGACAGTGTGGAAGCTTCTGAGATCTGGCATCAGACAGCTTGGGTGGGTCTAAATTCCACGTCTACCTCTTACTCCCTCTGACCGGCCTCCTGAAAACCTGTTAACCTCTCTGAGCTCAGGTTCTCATCTATAAGATGTGGATAATAATATTACTTATCTCCCGAGGTAGCTGAAAGCATTAAATAAGTCAATTCATGCAAAACACTTAGCGTAGTGCTTGGCACTTAAAAAACACTGCAAACATAAATATGCCAAATATATTAACAGTTGTTATAGCTGGATGGTGTAATTACAGGATTTTAATTTTTTCAAATTGTCTACAGTTACTTGTTTTGTTTGTTTGGTTTCATTTTTATTCTCAGAAAAAAAGGTCAATTTTTGAAAAGTTTGAGTCTTAAGTGTTGTAGTGATGCCAAAATACTCTGAAACCAAAAAGTGGGTCCCTTACAAACTCCCTTTTGGGACTCGCCTTCGCTGGAAGAACCCCTCTCCCTTCCTCACAGAAAACAAGCTTGTCTTCCCACAAGCTGATAACCGCAGGGAGCAGTAGAGCAAAGATTCAGGAAAAAATAGAACTCTTAAATAAGAAACTGGAAGTGTTTGGCATTGTGAAAACAAGAAGCAATAAATGTAAAGAGCTCCCAGGTCAATCATCTCTTTAAGTCCCTGAGGTGTTGCGAGCGTTGGGAATATGTTATATTGCATTAAAATTTATAATTGGATCTTGACGTCTGTTCAGTAATAGGTCTGGTTCGGGGGATGGAAATTAAGCCTCAGTTCACACCTCGTTTCCTTGCTGGGAATATTGCCGAACTGGACTCTGCATGAGACAGATTTTCGTATATACAAATAAGGGGGCCTGACAAGCCCACAGGACTCTAGCCCCGCTAATTTCTCACACACGGGGCAATGCTGAGGTAGAAAGCTCATTATTCAAAATAACGCAGTTCTCTTCTTAAACTGCCTCAGGCTTCGGATGGAGCTAATGAAGCAGAGATTTATGTTTCTTCTAAGATGACTGATGAAAAAATTAGTTGCAAATAACTGTGAAAACAATTGGGAGAAAAGCCTAACATGTTTCCTACAGCCAAGAGTCTGTCACAGCCATGGAACTGCTGATATTCAGAAACTCAACGTGTGGAAGGAAAGCCCAGGAGACTAGTCTTCTGGGAAATGGTGGTTAAACATTCCCTGCCAGGCACCCTCCTCCCACTGGGAACTTAGAAGGCTGAGGAAGATAAACAGTAGCTGTGTGACTCTGAGTCTGTTTCTTGACTTCTCTGAGCTTCATTTTCGCCATCTGTCCCATAAGAATACCTACCCTGCCACAGTTCTGTGAGGACTCCAGACAATTCGTGTAAAGTGCTTATCTTAGAACCTGACAATGGGTGCACAGTAGTTTTTAGCATCATTACTGGGGTTTTGATTTCAAGAGCCTTGGAAGAATGTCTAGGTCGCCTGTTCCCCCAAGAAATTTGCCCATGTTTGAATCTCTTTAACAAGTGCTATTCCACTATGATAGATAAGGCTCAACTGCAAATATCTAGGAGAGAGAGCAATTTACCATTTACACTAAGTTACAAATGATCCATATCAGATTAGAGCAGGTTCTGAAAGTTTACAAGGAAGAAAGAAAACATTTGCCTGCTCACTCCTGAAGCATTTATTTAGCACCAACTCTGTGCCAGGTTTGCACTGGTCCCTGGTGGGTGGAGGGGAGATGAGCCCATGGACGTTGAAAAGGCTCTTCCCTTGCCTGGCTCCTGCTTCTCACCCCCCAGCCTCCTTGGCTTGGATGCGCTCCTTGGGTTACACAGGTACGCAGATTCCGCAGTACCCCAACATTACAACTCCTGTGACAGACTCTCATAGAATGTGTAGCTGATGAGGATTATTTTAGGCTGGTTAATTTTAAAACTGCAGATGAGAAGCAGGCTCCGAGGACTGGAATTTGCTTGCCCTTTGAGAGACATTCTCATTTGTGAAAGAAGGGAGATGATCTTGTCCCTGGAAACTCTTAATGGGGAAGGCAAGAACTTAAGTTGGTTACTGTCTGGCAACCTCATGTAACTGATTTAGGGTGGTGGCTTCTGGCCTTTACTTAATCTGATTTGATTCTTATCTAAAAGTTATGGGACCACCTAATGGCCAGACCCCACCTGCACTGATACCATTTTAATTTTTTACATGTTCTTTCCTTTGTCTTATAAAGAGATGGCTCACATACCTATGCCTTAAATTTAGCCTTACTCTCCACCCATGTTTGCAGCAATAGCAGAAGCAGCAGCAGCAGTGGCTCCTCCTGCCCGTAGGTCCTGTCCCCACGCACCAGCTCTGCCTGCCCATGGGTCCTGTCCCCATGCTATTCCACACTATTCTCTAAATAAAAGAGCACTACTGCCAGATCTTGAGAGTCCAAGAAATCTTTCTTTTGACTCCTCGGCTCACCAACCCCGCATCATAGGGATCAGTCTCAGCCCCCACCCTCAAACGTGTAGATACTGCTATTTCTTCGTTTTCATTAAACTCAGCTCAAATCAGTTTGCAAGCCTCACCTCCTCCAGGCTGGGTAGAAACTGCGTCTGAGTCACGATGAGCACCTCCCTCTTGGAGTCAGTGTAAAATCCAGGAGACTTTTGTGGTACCCAGAAGATAAAGAAAGGGCCCCTAACTTCCCATCCCCAGTGGTCATCACCAACCTCCTCTCCATCTAAGCTGGCAGTGGTCTCTCCCCACTCTTAGAAGTTCTTCACTTTACTGGGTGCACTAACCTTGCTCAAGCAGAGAGCCCTGGTGTCTTCAGTCCAGCCCCCGCTTTGGCATCTTGCTACTCTGAGAGGTACTGCCACAGTGCAATGTGAGGTCCCGCCATCTCTCCCCCTCAACTCTCATCTCTCTTTTAGTCCAGGCAGCTCCTTCTACCCCAGGGCTTTGCAAACTTTTTCTATAAAGGGCTAGATAGTAAACATTTTAGGCATTGCAGGCCATGCCATCTCTGTCATAACTACTCAGCTCTGTCCTCGTGGTGCTAAAGCAGCCATAGACAACACAACACATAAATGAATGAGCATGGCTGCGTCCCAATGACACTTTACTTTTGGACCCTAAAATTTCATTTTCATAAAATTATCACATACCACAAAATTTTATTCTTCATTTAATTTTTAAAACACCAGTCTTAGTGTTCAAGCTGTAAGAAAGGCAGGTGGCAGGCCAGATTTGGGATGTGGCCAGCAGTTGGCCAATCCTTGCTCTAGTGTCTTGTTGTCATCAAAGAAATTTAGCATAATCTCTTCAGTGAGTGCAGACTTTTGGAAAACAAAAGCCATCTATTCATTCATTCATTTGTTTAACAAAGTCTTGTAGGGTATCCAAGGTCCCAGATTGCCTGAATCTGAGGAGTTTCCCAGGATGTGGGATTTTCAGCACTGCAACTGGGAGAATCCCCTGCAAACTGGGACAGTTGATCACCCAACCTCTTAGGTGCCAGGCAAGAAAGGCTCAAGAGTGAATAAGACAAGGTCTTTGTCTTTATGAGGTTGGCACGCTCTTCAGGAAAGCAAGTGCCTTTGCCCGCAACTCCTGCTCATGGCTTGGGATCCACACCTTCTCTCCTTCCCCCCGCCCATGGGTAAGGGATACAGAAAGGCCCCATGGCAGGGGATCAAGGGAAAATGCTTGGAGGAAAAAGCTCAAATTTTTGTCCCAACAGACTGTCTTATCACACAGTAAAGCAGACAGCGTTAAAAAACAAAATTCAACTGAGTAAATTTGAAAGATCTCATTGACTTTATTCAGTGATTCATGAATTGGGCAGCATCTAACCTAGCAGATAGAAAGGAGCTCCGAAGAGCTATACGAGGCAAGAGGTTTTACAGGCAGAAGGGAGCAGGAACAAGGAAGCTATAGACACGAAAGCAAGTTGGTTATTGTAAGGTTACTTTCCTTATAGGGATGGCAGGGGTCTATCCGACAGATGACCTAACTCAGGCTGATCAAAGATTCCTTATTGACTGGTTTAAGAGTCCATTTCTCAGATGTCGTCAAGATGGCGGTATAGGCAGACTCTGAACTCACTTCATCCCATGAACATAACCAGGTTACAACTATTCCTGGAGAAATTACCCCAGAGAGAGAAGAGCCCATTTCTGGGAGAGCCAAAACTGTGATTAAGTTATGTCTCAGTTTGGTGACATGGGGCTTAGCATAAGTGAATGCATTTGGAGCCTGTTGTCTTGTCTTTAACAATAGTCTTGGTTCTAAGGGTCCAAGGAAAAGCAGCAGGGGTAAAATGGGGAAAAGTTCCCCCAGTATAAGGTGAGGGAGCCAACACCTAAACACAGCCCTCCCCACCCCCAGGCTGGAGCAGAGCGAGGGCTTCTTGGGTGGTCCCAGCACCTTCCACATCTAGACTCCTGTTGATGCGGGGTCGGTGAGCCAAGGAGTCAAAAGAAAGATTTCTTGGATTCTCAAGATCTGGCAGTAGTGCTCTTTTATTTAGAGAATAGTGTGGAATAGCATGGGGACAGGACCCATGGGCAGTCAGGCTGCTGCAGGGGACAGGGCCCACGGGCAGGAGGAGCCGCAGCTCCTGCCCCGAGTTGAGGGTTAGGGCTAATTTTATAAGGCATGGGTATGTGAGTCATCTCTTTACAAGACAAAGGAAAGAACATGGAAAAAAGTTAAAATGGTATCAGTGCAGGTGGGGTCTGGTCATTGGGTGATCCCACGACTTTTAGACAAGAATCAAATCGGATTAAGTAAAGGTTAGAAAGGTTAGAAGCCACCACCCTAAATCAGCTACATGAGATTGCCAGACAGCAACCAAGTTAAATTCCTGCCTTCCCCATTAAGAGTTTCTAGGGACAAGGTCATCTCTCTTCTTCTTCCTGGTACAGAGAGGGAGGCACCTTTACAGATAGAGATTTACCTTACAAATGTAAATGTGTCCCAACAAGGGCAAGTTTCATTCCCCAGAGCCTCCCTCCCTGTCCCTGTTATCAAAAGCAATCAGCCCCAAACAGTCCCGATGCCAAAGAGACATATCCTGGGGTGGCCAATTTCAGGTCCCTACAAGGTCACCCCCCACTTCCTTCACAAATGCAAATATCTCTCCAAGGGCAAGCAAATTCCAGTCTTCAGAGCCTGCTTCTCATCTGCAGTTTTTTAAAATTAACCAGCCTAAAATCCTCATCACTGTGGTACTAAAAAATGAGACATCCCCAAACCATGTTGTAAAAACTGTGGGCTATCGTACTTACTCAGTCCTATGGGTCCAATTCCGTGTTATATTTAGAAGTTTAATTGCACTTCATGAGAAAAGTCTAAATTTGAGGCCCTTTGGAAATGCGAAGTCCAGGCAGAAAATCTCTCCTCTTCTCCCTCACCACCCCTGCTCCTGGCCCCAATTTCCTCCATGATAGAGTTTGGTAAAGTAATACAGCCCCACTGAACCCCCTGTGAGCCTATTCAGAGCCTTTATTTAATTAAGAAAGTTTTCCACTCTGGGACCACATGCCAGAGTGGTAGGTGATGCATAGACTGGATTTTAGCCCCTATTTGGCCCCTCTGTCAGGTGGCTTTGTGCAGTGTACAACATGCACAACCATACAAAACCACCCTGAGACAACTGTTTGGCCCTTCAGGAAAGGAATCAGACCCTTTGTCTGAAGTTGAAAGAATAAAGGAGAGGGTGAATCTAATTGCATCAGACAGCCTAGGGCCCATCGTGACCTGCATTCAGGGTAATGGGATCCAAACTCCTTACCTCTGACCCCAGAGTGGGAACTTGCTGCTTGAGGAAGTGATTTCTGTCTCCCAATCACTTGTGTTTTTGACAACAGGCTGTTTCTTGCCTATTGTGTCTTCCTGTATTTCTACTTACAGAATGTGCCTGCAAAGGATGGGCTGAAGCACGGGTTGGGAAAGCTTTTGAAAACCAGCCAGGCGGAAACTTGAAGACAAAAGGTCTTCGAGCAGATATTATTCGCAGCCCTGGGTTGAGCAGCTGCCACGGGTAGAGGAGGATCATAAAGAATGTACCTGAAATCAGGCTTCAAAAAGGGACTTGTTCGCTTTGGCTGAGGGGGTGGTTGAAGGAGCCGCTGGAACAAGTGCTTTTATACAGCACCATGCCCTCCCCCCGTCCGGAATTCTTAATCGGTTTGGGTGGTAAATTCCCCGAAGTGCACGGCCTGACAGCACTGCCTGACAGCTGGTAGCCAGGTTGCCATGTCAACGAGAAGAGATCCTACTGGCGTGTTGTTTACTCATCACCAAGTTCTCTGTCAGAGTAGTGCTTAGGGAGAAGCTAAGAAACCTGATCTGGGACTCCAGACTGCTTCCCTGGGCACTGGGATTATTTTGACCCCTGTGGGGAAGACTGGGAGCTTACAGAGGCACCCAGAGTCTGGGGAAGAGGGGCGGGAGAGTGAGGAGGGGCGGGCCCTTCCCATGAAGCATCCTGTTTCACTGACAGGGAAATGAACATTTATGGCATATCTAGCATGCGTCTGAAATTCTGTGAGAAGCTACACAGATTTTATTTTATTCTCACAACTATCCTATAGGATTGCCATTAGTATGCCAATTTTACAGAAGAGCAAAGAGAGGCCAAAGGGCCAAACAGAAAGCAATGGTTAACTAAGTGAGGAAATGTTCATAAGATGGATTATTATGCAGCCATTTACAAATCATAGTTTTGAAAGCTATTTCACGATGTATTTGCCTTAGCATATTGTTCAGGGAGAGGGAAGAGGAGGCAAAAGTACTTAATACAGCACGTCCAACTGATAAAATATACACGATGAATAGATATCCGTAGAAACAAAAGTATGGAGAATAATATGGTGGAAATAACCAAAGGCCGCCCAAGTGAAAACAGGGAGGAGCTGTTGATTCAGAGCTTGCTATGCAAGGGCCTCAGCTGCCTTCACTTACATTTGGCAGAGACGGAAAGGCAGGCGGAGGAGTGGAAAGCTTGGTGGTGGGAAAAGGGAAGGCTCCAGTGTGCCCTGATGGGAGGCTGGTGGTGGGGAAGCTGGGGCTGACTAAAGGCGGCGCATCCCCTGTGATCAGTAAGGGGGGCATGTTTAGCTTTCTCTGGTTGATCGTAAGTTGGAAGCAGGGACCAAAATTTAGAGAAGTCGGCTGTTATTGACGAAGTCCTGACTGTTCCAGGCTCATTGCTGCAGAATTTGTGGTTCGGCTTCTCTACCAGTTGCTGCAAGTTGTGGGCCAGAATTCTATTTTTATATGTGTTCTGGTCATTGTCTGTTTGTGTATCCAGTCTCTCAGTATAGTATACAGAATGATAACAATAGCCATCATGATGGTTTAGGACTATCATTGAATTTTTGTTTATTTTCTTTCTAATTCCTTTCAGATTTTTCTAAATGGTCTACAACAAAGTATTATTTCTAACAATGGATAAACGTGTTTTTATAAAGAAAAAGAAAATGTGTTTCAGAAAGGTTAGGTAATCTTCCTGAAGTAACATAGCTAGTAAGTAACTGACTTGGAATTGAACTCAGGTCTTTCAGATATTACTGCCTCAGCATTTTCCCGCACTATGTCTTCTAGAGATTTTTAGGGCTTAGATACTGAAAGAAATGAGGATGCAGACTTGTACTGAGAAAGTTATACAGATGAGCTTTTTTTCATACATCACTTTAAAACTACCTGGTTTAGTCTCATTATTGCATCGCTGATAAGGTTTTAAGGCATAATCATATCTTCCAGGATTGAATTTAAATTCAAACAAAAGGTAATGATAAACACCTAATTTGTTTGTGGGGGAACATTCTCAGATACCATTGAGGAACTGACAAGCATTATGGACCATCTGCCCAGAAAGAAAAGCACAAAACTAAAACGTCTTGTTATAATTGTAGAGGCCCACACACCCCAGATCAAAAACCTCTGTTCTAATGGTAGCAGTGTGATATCAATTACAAGCCTGGATGCGGGAAGATGTTTGAGGCCAGCAGAGACTTTTTGTGTACTTCCCAAAAAATGTCTACCTCATCAGTCTGTGTCCAGTGCAGCTCGCTTCTGATCACTTTGTGGTTAACAGAAGACAGTCAGGGCTGCCACAGACAGCCACCCACAGGCAGCAGGTTGCCCACTGCATAGCCCTACGGAGACTACAGTGTGGGTGATGTCTCTTAGAATTGCAAGGGATAGCCAGCCTGTACATGAAAAAGTGAAATCTATAGATAATCCACAAATTTTACTTAGGCAAATAGCTGCCTCTTTTTCCACTACCAATTTCTCACCATTGACCCCCTAAAGGGTTGATTTGACATTCTTTCCCCCTTATCCCCATGGAATGATCGAAAATGGGGAAGAACAAAGCATCACGTACCACTTGCTTGGATCCGCAACCTCTGAAATTAGAGCTCATGAAGAATTACTTGGAATTCCACTTCTGTTACGGCAGAGTAAGCTCCTAACAGACTGAACTCCCACAGATTACAACTATGAACTTTGGGGCAACATACAAAAATCAACTACCTGAAGGCTCCAGAGAGTGAGCAAAATAGGCAGATTTTGGAGGTAGGTCAAAACTTGGAAGAATTCTACAGAGAGAGATCGCCATTGTAAGAGCTTTAGCCTATTAAAGGGCAGACTGCAATCATTGCATGATTTAGGGTTGACAAAACTCCAACAGAAAACTCATCATCTTGGGCTAAAGAACCAGAGGACAGAGCTCAGGACAACCATAGCTGCTTGAAAATGAGGGAGTAAACTTAGTAAGGAGAAATCCAAAGAAGGGGAGCCCCAAATTCTGTATGCAAGCTCTACTCAAGTCTCTGATAAACCAATAAATTATGCATCATGGGATAAACACAAAGCAGTTTTCATGGAAAGCTAAAAGAACTGAAGTTAGATATGAGCTACCATCCGCAACAGGGTAGACAGAATATATAGTTTGAGTATAACCAAGTTAATTGCTTGTTGAAACAACAGCAACCCTCTTCAGAAGACTATAACAGAATCCAGAGTCCCCACAATATAATATTCACAATGTCCTGCATACAATCCAAAATTACTCAACATATGATGAGCCAGGATAATGTGACCCATTCTCAAGGAAAATAATCAACAGAGGTTAGTTTTGAGATTCCCTAGATGTTGGAATTATCAGGCAAGATCTTTAAAGTAGCTATTATATAACTATGGCCAACGAGATGAAGAAAAATATGCTCAAAATGAACCAGAAAGTTAGGAAATGTCAGCAGAAAAGTAGGAACAATAAAAAAAAAAAATGAAAACTCTACAAAGAAAATATACAATATCTGGGGGAAAACAATCACCAGGAATGGACTTAATATTAGCATAGAGATGACAGAGGAAAGGATTAGTGAACTTGAAGACAGGTCAAGAGAGGTTATTCAACCTGAATAAAACAGAGAAAAATAAACAGAGCCTCAGGGGCCTGTGGAACGATATCAGAAGGTCTAACATGTGTAGCGGGAGTCCCAGATAGAGAGAGAAGAGGGAATGAGCCAGAAAAATTATTTAAAGGAATATTGACCAAAATGTTCCTGCAAATAGTGAATGACATAAATTTACAAGGTCAAGAATCTCATCAAACTCCAAACAGGATAAATACAAAGAAAACCATGCCCAGGCACATTATAGTCGAATTGCTACAAAGAGAATAGAAAGAGAAAATTGTGAAGCAGTAAGAGAAAAATGACACAATACATACAGGAAAATTATTTGAATACCAGAGAAAAACAACACATTACATACAGAAGAACTAAAGTGCAAAATACCAAGGACTTCTCACCAGGAACCATGAAGGCCAGAAAAGAGTGGAACATTTTTAAAGGGCTGGAAAAAAAGGAGTAAAAACCTAGAATTCTGTGTGCAGCAAAAATATCCTCCCAGAATAAAGGCAAAAAAATATGTCTTCAGATAAAAAGTTAACTGAGAAAATTCGCTGCTAACAGACTCACACTATAAGAAATGCTAAAGGAAGTTCTTTGGGCCAAAGAGGAAAAACATCAGTGTGAAACAGAGCTCCCGGAAAGAAGGAAGAACATCAAAAACTGTAAATGCCCAGGTAAATATAAAAGCAATTTTTTTCTCCTAATTTCTTTGAATTACAGATGACTAAAGAAAAGAACAATATCTTGGTATTTGTAATGTGTGGAGATGTAATAAATGTGACAATATAGCTGACAGTATAACGGGAGAAAGGTAAATGGAGCCAGATAATTAAAAGATTTCTACATTTTACACGAAGTGATGTGATATTAACTCTAAGTAAACTGTGAAAAGTTAAGAATATGTATTTTAAGCCCTAGGAACCACGTTTTTAAAAAATTCAAAGAGATACAGCTAAAAAGCTCATAGATTAATTAAAATGGAATTCTAACAAGTATTCAGATAATTCAGAATAAAGCAGGAAAGGAGAAATACAGGAATGAAAAATAGAAAGGGAAAATTGGAAATTAAAATTGAAATTATAGACAAAAATCCAATCATATTAATAAGTATATTAAATGTTAATGGTCTGCTTTTGGGTATCAAAGGACACTATCAACTCAGTAAAAACATAACCAGAATAGGAGAAAATATTTTTAAATCACATACCTGACAAAGGATTAATATCCAAAATATGGAGAGAACTCCTAAAATTCAACAACCAAAAACCAAATAACCCAAATCAAAAATGGGCAAAGGACTTGAATAGATTTTTTTCCGAAGAAGATTTACAAAGGGCCAATAAGTACATGAAAAAAATGCTCAATATCACTAATCATTAGGGAAAGGCAAATCAAAACCACAATGAGACACTACTTCAGACCCATTGGGATGGCTATTATCAAAAAAAATCCCAGAAAACAAGTGTTGATGTGAAAAAATTGGAACTCTTGTGCACTGCTGGTGGGAATAGAAAATGGTGCAGCCACTTTGGAACAGTGTTGTGGTTCCTCAAAAAATTAAAAATAGAATCAGCATATGATCCAGCCATCACAATTCCGGCAATCATACTTCTGGGTATATACCCAAAATATTGAAAGCAGGGACTTGAACAGATATTCGTACACTCACGTTCATAGCAGCATTACACACAATAGCCAAAAGGTGGAAGCAACCCAAGTGTCATAGTCAGATGAGTGAATAAACTAAATGTGATATACACATGCAATGGTATATTATTCAACCTTAAAAAGAAAGGAAATTCTGACACATGCTACAACACAGATGAACC